TCTCTCTCTCTCTCTCTCTCTCTCTCTCTCTCTCTCTCTCTCTCTCTCTCTGTGCCCTGTTTCCTGGTTTTGGGTTTTTCCCCTGTATTTAGGACAGGGTCTACAGAGTCTCACTACACAGATTGGACTTGTAGTGATTCTCCTGTTTTCAGCCTCTCACGCACTGGGATTACAGTCGTGTGCCACCACGCCCAAGCTCGATTGCTGTCGCAGCACGCCACAGAGGCAGGGCCAGCACGGCACGCTGGGAATCGAACCCTGGCCACTGAGCTCTGCCTAAGCAGGCGCTTTAGTCCACTGAGCTATCTGGCCAGCCTGACACCCGCCTTTCTTCACATGGCCAGTCTTGGGGCACAGACAACATGCTGTGAGCAAACTCAGCCAACTGTGAACTTGTACAGGGACCGAGAGTATGGAAAGAAAGGAGAAGAGGGGAAGAAAGAAAAGAGGAATGGATGAAGGAAGGAAAGAAGAAAGAAAATAAGAGAGGCAGGAAGAAAGGCAAGAAAGAAGGAAGGGAGAGAAGGAGTCTGCCACAGTAATGAGCAAGTGTGTGTCAGAGACAGAATGGAAGGGTTCAAGATGCACTTGGGCAGTCCGCGAGGTAGCTCAGCAGACTAAAGCACCTACTTAAGCAAGCTAAAGCAAGCGCCACGGTCTGTAGTTTGATCCCCAGCACCACATGCTATACCAGTCCCTAGGGTGGGCTGAGCCAGCCACAAAAAAAAAAAAAAAAGACACGTTTAGCAGTCAGACTCTGTAAGATGTGCTGAATAATTTATAAATATGGAGGAAAAGGGGAGAGAAAGGATGAATCTGAGACCTGAATACCAATACTTTTGGGGACAAAGTTCTAAGTGGATCTTCTCTCTTGCCATCTCGGTCTACTGACCTTGGGCTCTACCATTCCTGGCTGGGGGACTTGGAACGAGGTGACCCTTCCTATATCAGGCAGGGAAGTAATACTGAGCCGCTCGTCCCTACCTTCACACCTGGAGCCGTTAGCGATGAAGCCAGCCTGGCAGGCGCAGTTGTAGCCCCCCGGGAAGTTGGTGCAGTCGGCGTGCTCTGGGCAGGTGCTGTTGGCGAGGCACTCGTCGAGGTCTGCGCGGCAGAGGACAGCGCGTGCGCACAGATCAGACATCCACATCGCGAGAGCCGGCCCAGGGCAGCTGCCCACCCGCGCCCACCCCCGTGGGTCTGAGTGTGGTACCCGAGCAGGCGAAGCGTCCTGGCTTTCCTGGATGCCAGTTATTTCCAGTGGGAGAAGAGAAACCCCAAAAGCAGCTGCAGCTGTATCTCCCCCGTAGGTTTACGCAGATGGAGTGTGGCCCGCAGGGCGAGGGGCTTTGGGAGCACTCATCCACATCTGTGCAGAGAGAGGGATGAGCTAGCCATGGTGTTTTTACACAGTGGAGTATTATTCAGCCATAAAAAGATAAATTCAAGGCTTTTTTGAGATGGATGCAGCTAGAGAATTGTATTGGTAAGTGAAAGAAATCTCATCCAAACGTCCTATTGTCTCGCTCGTATGAGAACCAGAGAGAGTAATGAAAGTCTAAAAGGTACCACAGACACCGTGAAAGGGAAAGAAATTGTTCGACGGGAAGGAAAAACTGGGATGAGGAAAAAGACAAGTGAAAGAAGGAAAAAGATATATTTAGGGATACACAGAACGGTTTGGATAGTTGCATCGTCTGTTTCTGCTGGGCTTGTGAAAGGAGCAGTTAATCCTTAATTTTTAAAAAATTTCTTACTTTTGTTATTATTATTTTTTATTTTTAAATTTATTTGGTACGGGGTCTCACTACGCAGCTCGGACTTGTAGCGAGCTCCTGTTTTCAGCCTCCCCTGAGCTGGGATTGTAGGCGAGCATCACCGCACCACATCCGGACTCGGTGGCCGGCAGGGCGAGGCCCCCTCTGCATGCGGTACCCGTGATGGAATCTGCGCCCTCGTGTTCGCTAGGCAGGCACTTAGACCGCCGAGCTATCTCCCCTGCCCTTGATTGCTATGTCACTATTTCGTATTCAAACGAGAAAGGAGGCAGAGACAGAGACAGAGAGAATGGCAAATGCGCCTCCCGTGTCGGGGAGCAGGGTGTCTAGCAGAGGGCGGCAGGGCAGCCTTTCCAGCTGGGCCGGGGTGCTCCCCAGGCTGAGCGGGCAGCACACGTGCTGGCTGTGAGGACACCGCCCGTGTCCACGACTGTCTCGCGATGCTCAGTGGTGAGATGCAGCCACCACCCTGCGAAGAAACCGCGTGGGGCCTTCGTGATTACCAGGAATCAGTAAAAGGAAGGAAGAGATGGGCAGGACGGTGGGGCGGGGGGAGCAGAAGGAGCTTTGCCTCGCAGGATGCTTCTCCTCTGGAGCCAGCCGACCACGGACCGAAGCTCTAGAACCTGAGAAAAAGTCAACTTCTCCTCCCCTAAGCTGGGGGCGTTTGGCACTGTGTGGGCGTGGGCGCGGGGAGTCCACTCACACAGCCCAGCCCCCTCCGCTTCCACCACATCTTCCTGCCACTGCTGCGGCTCAGCAGCCTGGACTCACCCTCGCACTGCACTCCCGGGCTGCTGAAGTGGCTCTGCCCGTTGGTGGCCAGGAAGCCTTGCTTGCACGTGCAGTAGTAGCTGCCCACGGTGTTTTTGCAGGTGGAGAACGCGGGGCACGCGGTGGTGTCCAGGCACTCATTCCGGTCTGGGGGACACGGAGGGAGGGCGTGGGTGAGGCCGGGGCGGAGGGCGGAGGCGGCTCTCGGGGTGAACTGTGTCTTCGAGAAATAAGTTAAAGCCCTAAACGCTAGCGCGTGAGAGTGCAGTCGGGTTTGGAAATAGGGCTTTTGCAAGTGTGGTTCAGATCTAAGTGAGGATGAAGTCGCCCGCTTCAACAGAGCAGGCCCTTGGTCCAATAACTGGTGCCCTCGCGAGGAGAAGAGAAGCTGGGCCTGGTGGTACAGCCGAAAATTCCAGCAACACTGAGGCAGGAGGATCCCTGAAAGTTTGAGGTCAGCTTGGGCTATGTGTTCAAGGCCAGCCTGGACTACACCGGTGAGACTGTCTCAGAGAGGGAGGGGGACGGGGAAAGGGAGGAGGAAAGGAAGGGAGAGGGGAAGAGAGAGGAGGGAGGAGAGGAGAAAGGGGAGGAGGGTGCAGAGGAGGGAGGAGGGAGGAGGGAAGGGAGGAGGGAAGGGAGGAGGGTGAAGATGAGGGTGGGAAGGAGGAAGGAAAGAAGAAAGGAGGGAGAAGGAAAGGGAGGGGGAAAGGGAAGAGGGAGGGAAGGAGGAAAGGGAGAGAGGAGCGAGATAGGGGAAGAGGGAGGTAGAGGGGGAGAGAGGTGGGGGAAGGGAGGGGGAAGGGAAAGACAGAGAGGGGAAATAAGGAAAGAACCAACAAGAAGACCGTGTAATCACGGAGGTGGGGAACAGAGGGATGCATCGAGAAGCCAAGGAACACAGAATCGCCAGATAAGAAACATGTATGGAACAGACTCTACCCTATAGGCTTTAGAAAGAGAATGGTGTTCCCAACTTTCAGCCTCCATAACTGAAAGAAAAACTTCCCACTGGCTTCACCCACTCACTGTGTGCTTATTTGTTACTGCGAAGATCCTCGAACCTTGCTACTCAGGAAAACGGACTCTCTTAGAGACTCTAGAAAGAAGGAAGCCTGGCCAACACCCGGATGTCAACCCAACAGGACCGATTTTGATCTCTAACTTCAGAACTGCAAAATAATAAGTTCTGTGGTTGCCAGCAGGTGTATGATCATTATAGTGGCCAGAGGGATCACTGTTATTCCAAGTATACAGTTGTGGAACAAAGCAGACCTCAGAGAGGTTCAGTGACTTGCCCGAGGACACACAGCTGGTAAGCATCAGAGTTCAGTCTTTGAAAATCCAAGAATGAATGATTTTCATGACTGCTACAGGAAAAGGGGGCAGGTCCAAGTGGAACAAGAATAAACTTCCAGGTGATTCCTAAGAAAATGCTGTGTCTAAACTTCAGTAACTGGCTGTTTTTGCACCTGCCATTCTGACTGTAAGATTCTGGAAAGGAAGGATCTGTGTTTATTGACTGCTGCAGAGAATACTGCCTGGCCTGTAGCAGGTGCTCAGTGAAAACGTGTACAGTGAACGAAAAATCTGTCCTCTTCCTCCTGTTCCCCAACCAGAACAAAAATAAAGGACAGAGATTTTGCATCTTAACAGTCAGAATGGCAGGAGGGGTGGGGGCGGAGAGAGGGGGTGAGGGCAGGGCAGGGGCAGGGCGCTCAGGAACTGCCGCAGATTACTGCACAACTCTGAGGTCTGCCAGCGAGAGCTGGGAGCCCCTGGAGAGGTCTGAGCGGCGTTGGAGCACAGCTTGGTGTCGCAGGCGTCTCCTGGGCACTGGCTGGTGGTTATGCTATTGCCATGGAGCGAGAAGACCAGGGAGGAGGTGAACGAGGTACCGGGTCCACCCAGGTGGAAACAGGGAGCTATCTGAGCTTCTAGGGTGACTTCAAGGCGGTGCAAACAAACGGGCTAACGCCCTGGGCCTGGGAAGGGGCGGTGCTCCCGCCAGCAGCCACGGGAGGGCGCAGGAGCCGCTGCCGAGGGCGGGACGCCGTGGTTCCTGCACTCAGCACGCTGGTCGCATCGCCCTCTCGCCTCCTGTCTCGCACCTTCTCCGTTTCCCTGCCCCACGCGGGACCTGCGGCTACGTTTCCCTGCGGCCCCTTCTCTCCTCTGCGGAGCAGCAGTTCTCTGCATCAACTTCCAGCATCGTGCCCTGTGGGCTAGCTGAGATCTTGGAGACCTTCCTTACCCCTTTCCTGTATCTCAGAGCACTCAGACCTCTAATCCTCCCCCAGCCAGACAGCAACTCAAGTCTGTGGCCGAGCGCCTGCCGTCTCTCCAGCTCACCTCCTGAGCCAGGACGTCAGCCACGCCTGTCTCGCCCTGCGCTCTAAGCCCCTCCTGGCCGCAGGCCCTCTGCGCTTGCTGCTCGGCTGTGGGATGCGCCCTCCGACCCCACTTGTTACTGTCTTGCTTGGACAACTTCAATGCATGTACGCTTGGATGTCAAGACAGTACTTTCCTCAAAAATGCCTTCCAAACCATGTCACAGGCCCCATAAAACGAGAGCACTATAAGAAGGGTTTCATATCTAAAAAAAAAAGGACACAAATAATTTTCAGAAGAAAAGTAAGTTAGGACAAGTATAAGGTTTATCATCATAAAGAGAAGCAGTAAGGTGGGTGCAGTGGCGCATGGCTAGAATCCCAGGTGCTCGGAAGGCTGAGGCGGGAGGATCGCAAGTTCAAAGCCAGCCTGGAGGGGCTGGTGAGATGGCTCAGTGGTCTAAAGCACCTACTTGGAACAAGCTTAGCAAAGCACAGGGACAGCGGTTCAATCCCCAGCACCACATGCCAGCCAGCCCCGCCCCCTGGTGGGCTGAGCTGGCCACACACACACACAAATAAATAAATAAATAAATAAATAAAATTAAAAAAAAAAAAAAAAAAAAGCCAGCCTGGACAACTCAGGGCAATCCTATCTCAGAAAATAAACCTTGAAAGGGCCGGGGTGTGGGTCAGTGTAGCACGCCTAGAACGCATGAGACCCTGAGTTCAATCCTCAGCACCGGAAACAAGGAAGAAAGAAAGAAACGGAGGGAGGGAGAAGTGAAACAGTATCTCTGGAGTCAAATGCAAGTCTCAGAAAATGAGGGAATGAATATGCAAATTAGGCAATGCAGCTTCTTTTCAATGATCCAACTTTTTCCTGTGCTTTTCAAATACCGCCCTGCATGGACATTTTCTCTCAATATTTAGATTATGGGGGCTGGGAGATGGCTCAGTAGAATAAGCGCTTGCCTGGCAAGTGCAAGGGTTTGAGTTCAATCCCCAGTTCCGCAAATAAATAAATAAATAAATAAATAAATAAATATTTAAAAAAAAATTAGATTATGTAAGCATTTGGACTTTTGTTACAAAGGAAAGGAGTAAGCCTGTCTGATCCCTGATGTAGTTTAGATTCCATCACCTCTGCTACCTACATCCATATCATATTATAATTTTCCTGAAAGATAAAAAAAAGTGTACACTTGTTATCCGAGTACTCTGAGAGGCTGAGGCCAGACAATCACAGGTGTGAGCCCAGCCTAGGTGACTTAGAGACTCGGCAAGATCTTGTCTCAGAATTGGATTGATTTTTTTTTTTTTTTTTTTTTAGAATAGGAGATGTGGCTTGGTGTGAAAGCTGTGGGCTCAGTCCTATCACAGAACAAAACATGATTCTAGGTGTATCTGTGAGGGTGTGTGGGTGAAGGCAATGCTGAAATTATGGGCTGACTAGAGGGTGGGCCTTGTCCAATCGGTTGGCTGCTAAAAAGAAGAAAAAAGCAGAGTCTTTCCCTGAAGGCAGAGAAATCCTTCCTGCACTGTGGACCTTAAACTGGAATGCTGGCTATTTTCTTGCCCGCCATCCTTTGGATATGAGCTACACCCCTGGTCCTGCTGCTTCTACAACCCTCAACTTGGACTCAAACTCCATCACCAGCTCTCTGGAGCATCCACCCTGAGACATCCCCCAAGGGCCTGGTGGGTCTAATAAGTTGTAGGTCACACAGGTTCTGTTTCTCTGGAGAACCCTGGCTCACACCAACAGCCCGCAACATGCCACATACGGCGCTAGACCCTGCAGCTCTGGCAGCGGGATGAGACACACGACATCCTTGCTGACCTGGAGCTGGGGCTGTGGAGAGGGGCTCCATGGAGATGATGACAAAAATTAGGAAGTCAAGGCCAGCAAGATAGCTCAGTAGACTCAGCGCCTGCTTAGGCAAACACAGGGACCGGGATTCGATCCCTGCACCACGTGACATGCTGACCCCATCCCCAGGCGCGCTGAGCTGGCCACCAAGACAGGGCGTGGTGGTTCATGCCTGTAATCCCAGCTCTGGGGAGGCTGGCAGGAGGATCACTATGAGTCCAAGCTGCACAGTGAGACCCTGTACCAAATACACACACACACACACACACACACACGAGTGAGCAGTGCAGTGATCCCAGCTGTCCTGTGCCTGGACATGTACATCTTTTTCCCTTCCTTCTTTTCTCCTGGCCCTGCCCCAGGTGTTCCTGCCCTTGCACCAGTCCCTTTCCCTTTCCCTGCATCCAGAGTGCCTCTGTGCCGCAGACGTCCACTGTTCTTCTGAAAGGAGCCATTAAAGCTTTTCTCTCTGCTTTTTAATCTCTTACAATATTTTGACCCATTTTGCATGCTTATATCTGGTAAGCTGAACAACTAACTTGAAAAATATGATAATCATTGTTGAATTACTCTCATTTTGCTTAGTGACATTCTGCATCACTTTTTTTTTTTACTTTTTTTATTCTCTTTAAATACTGCTACTACTACTACTACTACTACTACTACTACTACTACTACTACTAGTATTAAAAACCAGCAAGTCCCGGAGAAGATAACAAAGGGACAGAAACAAAAGCCAGGCGAATCAGGGAGGGGTCCAGGGTATGTGGAAAGCCAAAGCCCCCAAAGTCTGGGGCCAGCCTGTGTGATGGCCCCAGGGCAAAACTAAGTCTGAAAGGACAGGGAAAGAAGGAGCTCACATGGCTGGAGTTGGGGGAGACCCAGGGCAGGAGGCCGGGAAGGACAGGGCGGATCACGGTCCTGTGGGCTTTGACCCTGACAGAGGCGGAGCCATGGTGCCCTGTGGGTAGAGGAGGAGCCTGACTCAGGTGCTCCCCATCACCTTTGGTTACTGCTGTGAGGCTAAGGCGCTGGGAGGCCAGGGCAGAGGCCTCAGAAGCCTGTCTGAGGGGCACGCGTGACCCTCAGCCTGGAGCACAGCAACCCAGAGGCAGCCATTATGTCGGGGAGGGAGGGCAACTTTAACACATAGCAAGAGCTTCTGTCTTCATGTATGTTCAAAACACCAGGGGCCGTACGTCATGCTCTCTGGTCCTCCTAAAAGATACATGCAGGTCAGGTCTCCGTTTGTGTGGGACTTTTCTGGGTGTAGCCCTGGACACTCAGCACCTGGGAAACTCCCACCTGTTGGAAGAGCCAGGAAGGGAAGCATCGTGGTCTCACTTGTGGATGTAGAAATGAATGCCCCAGAGGGCTTGCGCGGCCTGCCCGAGGTAGTGCCCCACATCAGAGGAGAAAGAGAAGAGTGCCTCAGGAGGGACAGACGCTGGGACAGAGCCCTGAGGACCTGCTGGCTACCAGGTTTGTTCAGCTGCAGCCCAGCCAAAAGAAACTGGGTGATTTCTATGTATCCTGCCCAGAGAAGGAGGAGGAGAGGAAAGGGCATGCAGAAGAGGAAGAGGAGTGGCAGGGAGGTGGGGAAGGAGAGGAGAAGGGAGGGGAGGAGAGGAGGGGGTGGGAACAGAGGAGGGGAAGAGGATGGTGAGAGAGGCAAGGATGGGGAGGGCAGAAGAGGCACAGGAGGAGGGGAGACGGAGGAGGGAAAGGCAGGGGGCAAAGGGGCAAGAGGAGGAGGAGGGAGCGCAGAAGGAGGATAAACTGGGAGAAGGAAGGGAAGGGGAGATGGATGGGGAGAAGGAGGGGCCAGAAGCAAGTGGGGCAGAAAGGGAGGAAGAGGGGGAGGAGGGAGGAAGAAGAAGAGGAGGGGAGGGAAGGTGGAGGAAGAAAGAGGGGAAAGGAGGGAAGAGGGAGAGGAGAAAGCAGGTGCAAGGGTAGCCAATACTGTTAAGCACTCACTGCATCCCAAGTGCCATTCTAAGCGCTGCCTGGGTATTTCTCCTGTTCCCCTTTGTCCTCAATTCCTCTCTTTCACAGAAACCAAGATCCTGGGGTATTTACTGAGATGCCTGCCTGAGTTTGCCATAACCATGAGAGCCATCACTGGGATGCGACAAGTGGGGTGTGAGTCTGGAGCCCACCGCTGACCACCACACTGTGGGGTTGAGTCCTACTAGGTGGAGCTCACCGGAAGCCCTATGAGGAGAGCGTTATGCTGTAGCTCTAGGTGTGCCCCAAAAGCCTCACATGCTCGGGGGGGTCTGGCCAGCAGGGTCGCTGGGCATGTGACTTGAGAGGACGCATGGTTGCCTGAGCTCCTCCCTTCTTTCTCTGCCTCTTGGCTGCTATGTGGTGAACAATTTCCTGTGCATCCCATGAACTGGACCCACCGAAACTGAGCCCAAATAAACCTATTTTTCTTTGAGCAGCAGGTGTCAGGTATTTTGCTCCAGCATCAGGACAGCTGATTAATGCAGACAGCTATTTTATCAAGGATGATCTTTTAGGAAATATGTTGGTAAGGCTTTCTCTTTTCTACTCCCCAACTCATGCTGCCAGTTTATCTCCTCTCAGCCAGGAAAAATGAAAGTGTCCTAGAGTGGACACATAAAGACAGTATTATCACTTGCATCTCAAATGGCCCTCAAAGGTCCATGTGTTGAACCCTGGGTCCCCAGCTTGGAGTTTCGGGGAAGTGGTGGGATCTTTAAGAGGTGGAGTGTGGTGGGCAGTCTTAGGTTATGGGGGCATGGCCTCAAAGGGAACTATGGAGCCCAGGTCTCTTCCTCTTTCCCATTTTCTCAGTTGCTTCCCAGGCCTTCCATGACACTCCTACCATGATGTACCACCAGAAGTCAAAGCAACAGGGTTGACCGACCATAGACTGAAATCTTCAAGACTGTAAGCCAAGACAAACCTTTCTTCTTTATAAGCCAAATGGCTCAGGTTATTTGTCACAGTAACAAACCAGTAGCTAACACAGAACAAAAGAGTAATGTTCAGATTTAAATGGCCAAATTGGATTTCTTTTTTCTTTTTACGTCTTTTGATTACTCTTTATTTGTGAAACACAATAAATACTAAAATCTAGCATATCTATGAGGAACTGAAAATATCAGACCCTTCCACACAAATGGCTCAGTCAAAGCCAGGCCATTGAATAGACATGGCTCAGAAGCAGCACAGATGGTCAATGAGTGCCTGAAAAGAGGGTGAACACCGCTGGCCACTAGAAATGCAGATCAAAACAACACTGAGACTCCATCCTACTCCAGAGAGGACGGCCTTCCTCAAGAAGCCAGAAATTGACAATGCTGGTAAGACTGTGGAGAAAAGGAACATCTCCACTTTGCTGGTGAGAATGCAAATGATTTTTTTTTTTTTTTTTTTTTTTTTATTGGCAGAACCAGGGATTGAACTCAGGCCCTTGCGCTTGCCAGGGAAGCACTTATTCCACTGAGCCATCTCCCCAGCAAGCATGCAAATGAGCGCAGCTGTGGAGATCAGTGGGGTGAGTCCCTATGTTGAAGTGTTGCTTCCCTCAAGACAATAGTCCAGAGAACAAATGATTGTGAAAAAGCTAAACCTATTTTCAAGTTCCTATTGATACTTCAAGAGGAAGGATTGGGCGGCTGGAAGACAGAGTCTTCGTTAAGCGGTGGTCTAGGAGGAAGAACCTGGGATCCAATGTAAGAGAAGCTAGAGCTTCGCCATATCCACGTGGGGCAGGGTCCATTGTTCTCACTGTATTTCACTCTTGGGCAACATGAAGATCAGAGAGGTTATGTAACTCGCCTGAAGTCACACAGTAATTTCAGGACTCAAAGGAAAGAATTGATCCAGAAGCATAAAACCTGCATATTAGCCCTCTTTCGGCCCCTAACCCGTTCCCAGGAAGTGTCCATCTAGGGTTGAACTTCTTAAATAAAAAGAACTCTTCTGCCCGGGAAACCTCCTCTAACCAGGCACACAGATTCTCTTTAGCAGACTTACCCCACGTGGCTGAGGTTGTGTACAGGGTAGTGGTTTCCCCGCTGTATGCATGACAACACCCTGTGGAGAGGAAAGAAAGGCACCATGACCCACCAAAAGGCCGACAAAATGACCCTTCATGTGGCCTCACAGGGCCAGATTTGACAGGGTTAGATGAGCAACCAATTGGTGGCAAACACTATTCTACACAATCTCTTCTTCTTTAATTGTTTTAGAGGCAACCGAGAACATAGTGTTTAAACGTACAGACTCTGCAGTCCAAATTCCTGGTTTTAAAAATTTTATCTCCACCCATGCCTATGTTATCAAGAAAACATGTTATCTATCTTTAATTCCTCAATTTCCATCCGGGTAAAATAGAGAACCAGACCTACTGTGCAAAGCCTGCCACCCTGGCTGGTCAGGAAGGTCCTTCTTCCTTTGGTGATGTGGTGCACACCAGAGCTCTGGGAAGCTGAGCTAAGAGGATCGCAAGTTCAAGCCCAGCCTCTCCCAAGATAAAAAAAATGGCCCGGGATGTAGCCCTGTGTGAGGGCTGTGGCTTCAGTCTCTAAGACCACCAGAAAACAGTCCTCTCATCTTCAGTTTGAATCAGAAAAACAAAACAAAAAAACCCAAATAAACCTTGCAAGACAGACAAGCAAAAGCAGCAACAAAGAAGACAAACAAAAGTAACATGGGGGGCTACCTGGGTGGTGCGAAGCGAGGGACCAGACAGGCGGCTCCTTGCTGCTGAGGTCCCAGCACGAACATGGGTCGCCTCAGAGGTGTCCGCAACTTCCCCTGTAGCAGGACCGCCCCAGCCACTTTCTTTTTCCTTTTCTTTTCCTAGTGTGTTTTACTATTCCATGATGATGGTGGGGTTTAGTTTGGGAAGTTGGTGCAAGCATTTAACATATATATGTACTGGGTACTCCCTCCCTTCTGTGACTCCAGAAGTCCATCTTCTGCCTGCCTTTCCTTCCTTGCTCCCTGCCTCCTCCCCCTCCTCTCTTTCTTTCTTTCTTTCTTTCTTTCTTTCTTTCTTTCTTTCTTTCTTTCTTTCTTTCTTTCTTTCTTTCTTTTTTCTTTCT